ACCTCAAGGCCTTTTTTTGGCTTCAGAAGAACTCAGGGCTTTCTATTGGCTCTAGAAGACCTCAAGGCCTTCTATTGCTTTGGAAGACCTCAAGGACTTGTATTGACTGTGGAAGACCTCAAGGCCTCATACTGACTCTGATAGAGGTCAAGGCCTTGTAGTGGCTCTAGAAGACCTCAAGGCCATATATTCGCTCTGGAAGACCTCAAGGATTTATATTGGCTCGAGAAGACCTCAAGTTCATATATTGGCTCCAGAAGACCTCAAGCCTTATATTGGCTTTAGAAGATCTCAAGGCCTTCGTTTGGCTCAAGGCCTTTGCTCGACTCTAGAAGATATCTTTTGGCTCTGGAAGACCTCAAAGCCTCCTACTGGATCTGACAGTCCACATGGCCTTCTATTGGCTCTAGAAGACCTCAAGGCCTGATTTTGACTTCAGAACAACTCAAGGCCTTCTATTTGCTCTGGAAGATCCCAAGGCCTTATACTGATTCTGGAAGACCTGAAGATCTTCTATTGACTCTGGAACACCTTCTATTCCATGTATTTATTTGACAGATTTTTTTCAGAACCTAGTTAGGACCTGGGTGTTTTTCTTAAAAAATGACATTGTTTTAGAAAACAAAATTATTCTCTGGACCTAAGAATTTCAACAGCGATATGTTGAGATTCAGTACCTAAAGAAAAATTGAGGATTTTTCTATAGTTCCCTTCAAAGAAAAAGTCGATTATTAAAGCTTGCGGATTTTCTTCTATAGAAAATAAATTTTAATAAGGATCTGGACCTAGATTATTTTCTAAAAAAATTGACCCTCAAAAACACAGGACCTGAAATCTATTCAGAAAAATGTTGAAAAAAATAAATTCCAGAAAAATGTATCCTCATGACCTAGGCACTTCTACAGGAAAAATCGCCAGCACATGAGTTTTTTCTTCAAAACCCAAATGCTCAGGTCCTGACCTGAGGATACTTCTGAAATAAAAAATTTATTTTCGGAATTTGAGTTTTTTTTACAAATCTACTTTTTCTGAAGACCCAAGCATTTCCATAGAAAAAAATCGATCATCAGGATCCAAGCAATTGTTTTTGAAATGAACAATTTATTTTTAGGACCTAAGGAATTTTTACTCTAAGAAAAATTGATTCACAGGGACTAAGGAATTTCTCCCAAAACCCCTCGATTTTTAGCGTCGGAGGACTTTTCAATAAAGAAACCGAAACGATAATCAGGGAGAGATTGAGATTTTTTTTCTCTAGAAAAATTTACCCTCAGAAGGTAGCCATAAAAATGAACTTCAAGAGAGAGGACAACCCTATACTGTGACCAGAAGACCTCTTCTGTGGAGACAGAAGACCTCTTCTGTGGCCAGAAGATCTGTTATGTGGCCAGAAGATCTGTTATGTGGCCAGAAGACCTCTTCTGTGACCAGAAGACCTCTTCTGTGGCCAGAAGACCTCTTCTGTGGCCTGAAGACCTATTCTGTGGCCAGAAGACCTCTTCTATAAAAATCCTCAGGATCAATCATCCTCTTGAAAAAAAAACTTTCAGATGGCCAGATTTTTTCCTCTAGGTCCCCAAGATCGATTTTCACTTAGAAAATAAACATCATTTCCCCCGGACCGAGTTTTCCAACGGAAAAACTGTTCCTGACCTAAACCAAAGGATGCATTTTTAATTTTTCATGCCAGGAACGGTAAAGTCTCTTAACGGTATAGTCTCTTAAATTTATTTGCGATTTCAACGAACTTATGGACACATTGCCTTCATTTTCCATTTTTATCCCCCTCCTCCCCTTCTCCTCCCTCAGCCATTCATTCTTTTCACCTAATTTCCATGGAAAACTAAGAAATCGAATAAAAATAGAAAATACCAACAATCGCTTAGTTTAGCTGGACGCGTTTCACAAAACCGGATTAAAATAAAAAAGCCAGGACCAAGGGGGTGAAAGAAGCAGGAAAAACAAGGAGGAGGAGGCGTAGCAGTAATGAAAAAATAACACAAAGCAAACTTTGTTGCCATTGTTACTGGCGGCTAGGCGGCAAGTACTTTACCTCCTTTTCTCTTCTATCCTCTCCTCTCTCCCATGAATGAAAATCGATTTTCCAACCCCCCAAAACGGATAGAAGAAGCACGCATTTAGAATAAAAACAAAAAACAGCAAGCTAATGCACTTGGCCCTGACAAAATCCACAACAACACTAAGTTAACGAGCAAAGGCTATGTGGAGAGATTGTCCACAACCCAATATAGAACGCCAGTGAAAGGCATTAACAAGCAAATGTCGGCCTGTCTGTCTCTCCGCCCGTCCTTAGGTTACTTTTTTTTCCATCGGAACAACAACGCAATGACGACGATGAAAGCGACGAAGGGTCAAACCGAAAACATGTCGACCCCGTCTATCAGCGGAAAAAATCGCTTAACCGATTACTAAAAATAAAAACAAAAACAACGAGAAAGCGTGGAAGAAATAGAACAAGTATCTGTTGTTAAGATCCGGTGTGGCGCAAAAAGATTGGGGGATGCAGGGCAGAGGAGAGGTAGGGGTGCTTGAATTTTTGCCTCGCGGCCGGCTAGTTAATGGAAATTGGAATCACCACCACTTCTACGTTACAAAAAAAAATGAAAAAGGTTTGATGGATACACATCATCATCGTCATTGCAATCGCCAGCGACTGGAAACGTGGCCGTTATGGAAGATGATTGACGGTGGTGGTGGTGGCGTTGATGGCCCACTGAACATGGCTTGATTGTTGTGACGACGACGACGACGGCCAACAAACGATATTTGATTTTTGACTTAATGACCTGGAGGAAGGAAGCTATAAATATGGGGACGAAGTTATGTTGTGAGGTGCATAAAAATAGACATAAAAATTATTTATCTTCTGCGGAGACAGAGGACCTCTTCGGGGACAGAAGACCTCTTCGGGGACAGAAGACCTCTTCTGTTGAGACAGAAGACCTATTCCGTGGACACAAGAAGACTTCTTCTGTGGAAACAGAAGACCTCTTCTGTGGAGACAGAAGACCTCTTCTGTGGAGACAGAAGACCTCTTCTGTGGAGACAGAAGACCTCTTCTGTGGTCAGAAGACCTCTTCTGTGGAGACAGAAGACCTCTTCTGTGGCCAGAAGACCTCTTCTGTGGAGAGAGAAGACCTCTTCTGTGGAGAGAGAAGACCTCTTCTGTGGCCCGAAGACCTCTTCTGTGGAGACAGAAGACCTCTTCTGTGGAGACAGAAGACCTCTTCTGTGGAGACAGAAGACCTCTTCTGTGGAGACAGAAGACCTCTTCTGTGGAGACAGAAGACCTCTTCTGTGGAGACAGAAGACCTCTTCTGTGGAGACAGAAGACCTCTTCTGTGGAGACAGAAGACCTCTTCTGTGGAGACAGAAGACCTCTTCTGTGGTCAGAAGACCTCTTCTGTGGAGACAGAAGACCTCTTCTGTGGCCAGAAGACCTCTTCTGTGGAGAGAGAAGACCTCTTCTGTGGCCCGAAGACCTCTTCTGTGGAGACAGAAGACCTCTTCTGTGGAGACAGAATACCTCTTCTGTGGAGACAGAAGACCGCTTCTGTGGAGACAGAAGACCTCTTCTGTGGAGACAGAAGACCTCTTCTGTGGCCAGAAGACCTCTTCTGTTGCCAGAAGACCTCTTCTGTGGCCAGAAGACCTCTTCTGTGGCCAGAAGACCTCTTCTGTGGCCAGAAGACCTCTTCTGTGGCCAGAAGACCTCTTCTGTGGCCAGAAGACCTCTTCTGTGGCCAGAAGACCTCTTCTGTGGCCAGAAGACCTCTTCTGTGGCCAGAAGACCTCTTCTGTGGCCAGAAGACCTCTTCTGTGGCCAGAAGACCTCTTCTGTGGCCAGAAGACCTCTTCTGTGGCCAGAAGACCTCTTCTGTAGCCAGAAGACCTCTTCTGTGGCCAGAACACCTCTTTTGTGGCCAGAAGACCTCTTCTGTGACCAGAAGACCTCTTCTGTGACCAGAAGACCTCTTCTGTGGCCAGAAGACCTCTTCTGTGACCAGAAGACCTCTTCTGTGGCCAGAAGACCTCTTCTGTGTCCAGAAGACCTCTTCTGTGGCCAGAATACCTCTTCTGTGGCCAGAATACCTCTTCTGTGGCCAGAAGACCTATTCTGTGGAGACAGAAGACCTTTTCTGTGCCCAGAAGACCCCATCTTTGATCAGAAGACCACTTTTGCGACCAGAAAAGTGAAAATGACCTTCAAGATATGAAAAAGTTCGGGACAAACCTAGGGATATTTAAAAAAATCTTCCTTCAGAGTTCGAGTTTTTTCCTTCTTAAAAAATTATCATCAGAACCCAAGAAATTGGGTTCTCTGTCAGATCCCTTTTAAGGACCTTTCCACCGTCTATTTTCTAGGGTCCCCATGGGTACCTTGAATATTTTCAGAAAGGAGATTCATTTATTTCCAAAAAAATGGCATTTCCGGGTGTTACTTTCTTTTTGAGGTACCTCCGTAAAACGTGGTGTCTTCTGCTTGACCCACGTACCCGCTTTGGGTCCATTTCTTCAATTTTGTTTCCTTTTTTTCAAAAAAAATATGATCTTATCTCAAAACTTACCCTGGCAATCATGTGTACATCCCCGTCACCTCCCTGCTGGACACCGGTGCGTATCTTTTTGTTCTGCGGCCCATCGCTGACCACCAGAACGCCCCCTCCGCCGCCGGCACTGCCATTGGTTGAGCCGTTATAGGGCATGATAGCCTTGGGTATGTTCGGGTCGCTGGGTTGGTGAATTATTTTGACGGCTGTGTTGAACAGTTTGTCGGTTATGAAATTCGGCTCCTGGGTAATTTTTGCGCTTTGCTCGCTCGCTCACGCACACAAACGGACCACGGCTAAATGGGTTAGCAGTTGGGGGTCGGTTTGTGTAGGTGGTGTATTAGAGAGGGCGTAGAACGGCGACGACGACAACGACGTTTACGGCGAAGACGACGATAACCACGAAGGACGATAAGGACGATTTGATAATCTAAGGACGCGAACTTTTAAAGCCTTAGAATGACGCGAATCAAGCGAATTGGGTTCCCCGGAGACGACGATGTAACCGTGATTAAATACCAATTGGATAACGAGCGTTTTCGAATGAGATTTTCTTCGATTGGGATGTGTGTTGTTTGGGTTCCTGTTGTTGTTGTTGGGTTTGTGTTGAATGTTTCCTCTTCTTCTTGCCACTTGCGGTCTGTGGTGTAAATATTGGTTGTTGTTGTTGTTGATGTTTTTCTTTGGAACTGAATCAGCTGTTTAGGCTCTGCTCATTTGTTTGTTGTGTGATGGTGGTTGTTGTAGTTGTTGTTGGTTTTCAAACAAAATGAAAATCGTAGCGTAGCCAGGCCGGAAAAGAAGAAAAGAAAGAAAGAAAAAATTAAATTTAAGAAAATTATTAAATTTTTCGGTTATTGAGTTGAAAGAACTTAAGTCAATATTTATGTTTTTCTTGGTTTCTTTGTTATTGTTGTTGTTGTATTTTTTTTTGTTTTGACTTGGTATCAGTTTCCTAGAATAGTGGCTGGAGCATGGGGTCACATATTAATACAATTGGTCAATTCCCCCCCCCCCCCCCATTCCCTTCGCTCCCACCACTTTTTTCTTCACCTTCTCATTCACTCCCTCCACCACCTCTTAATTTTGTTTTAATTACAACAACTTGTGCCGGCAATGGCAAGTGCAATGGCTCTTTCCGTGTTGTTGTTGTTGTTATAAACAAAAATTATAATTACTGGCGTGTCGTCATCACCATCATCATCATCGGCATCGGCATCGACATGGACATCAGTTTCGACTTTTGTTTGTTTATTTTTACCATGCCAATCAAACCCCTTCTTCCCAAAACCCCTGACCCCCCACCCCTTCTCGCCTTCTCCCTTTCTTTCCCATTTTCCGCTCAAACTTTTCCAAAGCCTCTATCAACTGACGCACATTATTTTTCATTTTTTGTTGTTGTTGCTGCAATTAGATAAAAATTTTCCAAGTTGTTGTTATTGTTGTCTTTATCGTAAACAAATATCGGAATAATTGTTTCTGTTGGGTAGTGAATTATTGAAAATCCATTTAGGCCCGGCAAAATACACTAATCAACTAAAAAATGAAAATTGTTTTTCCGTTGGTATTGTTGTTATTGTTGGTTTGTGCTTTTCCAATCGTTTGCTTTGTTTTTCCCCCATATTCTTGGCCTAAATATGCCACCACCCCGTTGCTGTTGCTGTTTTCGGTTTCCATCCAAAACACGCAATGGCCATAGTTTTATGCTATGCCATCCAGCCAGGCGGCTAGCCTGCCAACAGAAGGTTGTATAATTTTTCTCCTATCCTCTGCTTCTTCTTCTTTTTCCTAATTTTCCATATCGTTTTGTTATGGTGTACCAGTAGCAGAACTAGGATTACCATTATCGGAAAAATAATTATCAATGGCGAAAGTAAAGGTTAGCATAAAACAAAGTTAAAGCAAGTGGCAAAAGTGGGTACATACATTTTTCAGAAATTATATTGATTGTGTATGTATTTTTTTGGGAAGAGATATAATTCTAAATATTTGCTGTTGCGAAAACCTTTTTTTCTCTAGAGTGGATGTTTCCTGCAGTTTGGACTTCAAAATTTATGTTTCCCCCATTAAACGCATTATTTTCTATAGGATATTTGCCACAGTCTACGATCGGATTATGGTGGTATGGCGTAAATTTTTTATGCATGTTTTCATACCTAATGAATTTTTATCCTCGCCTAATAACTGTTAGGAAGGAAGGAAGGAAGGAAATGACATTCCTGAGCATTTTACTTTTCAAAAATCTTGAAACCTATGTAGGGGAGCCACCATAAGAAATGGTCCGATCTCTACTATGTTTATAACAGATATTGTGTAGATGGGTATTTTGGTATGTACCAAGTCTGAAAGGAATCAGATGTTAGTTTCGTGTTTTATGAGCTTCATGGATATTCAAAATTTTGACGCTTTGTGGGGGAGGTACCAGATATGTCCCATCTTCACAGCAGATCTTGTGTTAGTAGAAATAATGATAGGTGTAATATATGAAGAGAACCGGATGCTTATTTCTGATTTTAAAATCGTTTTGTGGGGGAGCTACCGGAAGGAGTAGACCGAAATATCCCATCTTCACAGTAGATCCTGTGTTGATAGAAATATTGATATGTACCTGAAGTCTGATTGGAATCGGATGTTAATTTCTCGTTGTATAAGCTCCATGGATATTTCAAATTCAGACCCTTTGTGGGGGAGGTACCAGAGGGAGTGGTCCGATGTATTCCATTTTCATACTAGACCTTGGGTTAATAAAAAATATTGCGATCTGCGTAATTTGAAAACAATTGGACTCCTACATCACATTTTATAGGTGTTAAGATTATTCAAAATTTTGATCCTTGTGGGGCAAGTATTTGATGGAGTGAACCGATATTGTCAATCTTCGCGCCTGACCTAGAACTTATGCAAATATTAGGATTTGCAAAGTTTAAGCAAAACCGGATTACCCTTTCTCTCTCCGTGCAGTAAAATATTTTCTTTGAAAATTTCGACTTTTTGTGGAGCAGGTACCAAAAGGAGTGGGCCGATGTTGCCCATCTCCGAACTCGATCTAAGTTTGATAATAACATTACAATGTACAAAGTTTGGATCAACAATTCGGCTACTCCCTTCGAAAGTTATCGTACGCACCAGCCAGCCAGCCAGCCGGCCGGCCAGGCAGACAGACGGACGTACGTAACTAGATCGACTTCAAATGTCCTGAAACGGATTTGATCTGAAGAGACCTAGGGTCTGAACCGTTTTTTCGATGAGGCACGTTTCGACCGTATCAAATGATATATATACTCTCTAGTCATATGGCTGAGAGTATAAAAATAGCCATTTTTGTGGTGGGTCCAAACATTTACAGAGCAAGGGGTATTTTTTTATAGAAAAAAATTTTCCAAAAGGCACTCAGACGTTATTCTTTGGTATATGAATAAAATCAATATTTGATATGAGAATGAACTCCTTTTACACAATCCAAATCCAAATGAAAACAAGCGAAAAGACTGGGTTTAATAATCCTCCAAAATACCGAAAAGTGGGTCGCTCTCTCATATGAGCTATGTCATTTCAGCTGCAGTAATTAACATGGACTACTTCTTCAAGATGTTTTGTTACCTATGAGGATGATAAAAATTTCGAGTCTCGGGAAATGGTCCAGATCCATATAAAACTTAGGAAAATTTTGTTGACAAAATGATGCGAGAAGCTTTCCAGTATCTAGAATCGGGAGGTACCATCATCAAAGTTGGACAAAAAAAAACTGGACCGAATCAGGCTATTTGCTAACCTGCCCACTGGCAAAATACACAATTCAAAAGACATATATATAACGAATATATAATATTTTTTTAAATAGAAAATAGTTCAAATCCCCTAAAAAAAATTGAAACAAATGGACCTTGAGGATTGATTTGTTGTAACCGTTTCCATGTTCTCATAAGGAATATTCAAGTCCAGTATAATTGCTATTTGGAATGTACAAAAAATGTTTTGAGCCCCTACAAATTCAATAGAAAATTCCGGACAACGCAGACATCGATTTTTCTTCAGAGTTCTGCGAATCTTTTTTTAAATTAGTTTTCTGTAATGTAGGATTTCAATTTATAGAAGAGGCTAAACCCCAAGTTTTGAATTTAAAAGTTTTTTTGAGAATAATTGTAGCCCTTAGAGAATTAGAGAGGATTCTCTGTTGTAATCTCCAAATTTTTGGTATTTCTAGATCAAGCCTGAAAATGGGATATAACGGAAAGAATTTTGAAATACCATAAATTATTTTTTTAGCCTACGTAGTATCGAATTTATTCCTAACTTTTACACATCCAAATATATTTTCTTCCAACGTATGTCGGTTGCAAAAATGAACAATATCGGGTTATTCCTTCTGGCACCTTATTTTCAAATTGGGGCTTTTTAAAGACATATCTTGGGACTTGCTCAATATATGATGAAAATTTTGGTTATGGGTGTTGGGTATTTATCCAACTTGATAATTTTATCTTTTTTAATTCTAACATAAGAATATATGATTATTTCCAGCATACGTTCTGAATCCAAAAGCAATTAAAAATTGTTGAATATTGACCCCAAATTACCTCTTCTTTTTCACTTTTTTATTAAATTTTTTGCCCTTGGAAATTAAAAACTTAAACTGCTGATATTAAAAAACATTGAAATGGGAGCCAAGTTTAGACATGTATGGCAACCTATATGAAGTGGTTTCCCCAATTCCCTGGAAAATCTATTGACATCCAATTTTGAAAAAAAAATACTCATCTCTTATTGTTTTAATATTTAATTTCTACCACTAAAACCTTATGGTCCTCTACACTTTATTTATCCCCGTTGATATTGGAAAAATCTTTGGCATCCCTGAAAAGAAAATGGCAGGAAAAACTTGTTTGCACCAGCAACGAGAAACCATGCTGCTACCACCTCTGCTGTTGCTGATTCTGCCGCTCTACTCAAATAAATGGCAAAAGCAAAGTCAATGGCAAGCGAGAAAACACCCCCATTTGGTTGGCTTTTGTTGTTACTGATTTTTCGGCAAAAGGCAGGATGCTTGACTGTGAAACGGTATCATCAAAAAAAAAAGAAGATGGAAATTGGAATTTCCACCTTTTTGGAAAAATTCAATTCAGAAAAGGAAAACAAAACCGATTGGGAAAAACCAGCAACAAAATCTAATAAGAAAAACTGTGGGATTTACTGTCCCTTGAAGAGAAAATGAAAGTTCCTGACAAATGAACAAAGGGATGGATGGACGGACAGACAACCCCTAAAAATCTTTAATGTCCCATGCCATGCCAAGGAAAGGGAACAAAAACGGAAGCTTTCAAAAGATTAGAGGATGAAACAGGGATGGAAAAATTGTGAATGCAATGAATGTGGAGAGGAGATGACGACGATGATGATGGCGATGAAAACAAATGAGGGAAAATTTCTTCCCTTTTCCCTTTGTTCCGCCGCTTTTCCCAAGGAATCATAGAAACTTAAACAGCCATGGAGTGGAAAAATTGATGAAAATAAATGAAAAAGAGAGGCAAACAATTGCAATTGTTGAAACACACACACACACGCACGGAAATATTAAACTTTTACAACGGATTTTCACATTATTTTGTAGCTCAGAATAATTCACAATTTCTATGGGTTTTAATTGTTTCAATTATTTCTCAAAATTTAATTTTCTTCACTGTTTTGTTCACTATTCTTGGTGGTTAATAT